ACACAGTTACATCTGTACACCACCTCTCATTGATGTAAAAGCATGTCCCTCCACCGCGCGATTTCCCCGTTGATTCTGTGTCGAAGTCCGCTCTGAACAGCTGAAAGCCCGGCAGATGTAGCGCGCTGTCCGGTATGGCATCATTCAGTCAGGTTTCCGTGAAACACAGAGCAGCAGAGTTTGAAAAATCCTTGTTTGTCCGGGAGAGCTGAAGAAGTTTGTCAGTTTTGTTGTGTAGAGCGGAGATTCGCCAGATGGTTGCTAGGCAACGCCACTCGAAAACCACGCTGCCTGAGCTTGACGAGCGCGCCGGCTCGCTTCCCCTGTCTGCGTGTCCTAAAGTGTTTGATCAGCTCCACTGCTCCGCCAACTACAATGTTCAGCAAAACGTCTGAATAATCAAAATCCGGTAGGAGATTTTGTGGTGTGTTCTGCCGAATGTTCAGCATTTCATCCCTGGTAAAACTGATCGTGTTTGAGAAACAAAAATCAGGAAAAACTAACAAAAACAGTACGAAGACAAATAACCACAGCCTTCCTCTGTCACCATACAGCCAGACAACCTATAAAAGAACAGACACCAAATCACCAAATGCTGCTGCCATATCACCAGCTGAACTGGATCTTCTTGTGACTCTGTTTGTTCTGGATCTCCTTCCACACTGAGGACAGTTAATGTCTTCTGATGGTCTGGACTGATCCCAGTAAATACTGATGCACTGTCTGTAGAAACTGTGTCCACATGTAACAGAGACCGGATTTCTCAAAACCTGCTCACAAATTCCACATTTTGACTGAACCCAGATCAGTTCCTCCCGATCTCTGCAGAGTCAAAGTAAAAATATCAGTTTTACTATATCACAATAAATAATAACAGTAAGATACCATAAATATTAGAACCAGATGTTTTCGTCAGTACCTTTAGTACCTCAGTTTGCATTGATAATTACTGCTACTATGATTTATCAAAATATATTTGTTCATTTTATCTCAAGTTGTCAAATGGAGGTTGCTTGACCAATTTTCTTTTTCCTGATTTTAGTGATGACCTCTATGTATTTGTATTGCAAAACCACTAGTTTTGTATACCGATTAAAGCACCCATAGTCAACTTCAGTTTCCTATCTGGTCCCCCACCTGAGATAATCAACCCCAAAATCTCACTTCTGAAATGTTCTACATATACATATAAATGTACATATACACTATACTTACAAAGGTACTCCCTAAAAAATTAGGACTGTGACCTTTCTTTTCATTATAAATTTATTTATTTATGATTTAATGCCATGTCAGCAGCAATGTCTATATTCATGGCAAAAACAATTCAATTGCATCACTCAATCAATATCCTTTCAATATAATGTTTACAATAATTCCCTGTGCATTATATATTGACCCTAAAAGTGAAACTTTGAGTGATCGTGATCATTACATTGACCCTAAATTCTAAGAAACAAGAATGTTTAAAATGTTTCTATATGTCCATGTATTTTGTTATGTGTTCTAAAAATCATGTTTTGTTCAAGGAGCTCAGACCATCCTGATCTGAGATATTGAGGTTTCATATCTACATGCATATCTAGTTCAGTCATGAAACTCCACAAGACACAGACTGATATGTTCTTAATCTGCTAACAATTATATCACCACAACATGGCATGAGCACATTTATCTTTTGAAACTGCAGCCAATGAGCTTGCTGCTTAAGATTTAAAAAGTTTGGTTTTGTGTTTGCTGTAAGCAAGTTTTGCAGTGTCCAATTAGAAACCCTCCATCTTCCCCAGCTCCACCTGTCTATGGTTTCATGTATGCTATATATGCGTAGGGCTGAGTGATAAAATGATAAAGATAATTATCACAATATATTTTTCCCTTGACAGAACAATAACACGTGTTGGATAAATGTTCAATATAATGTTTATTTTTTTTGGCCATGTTGCCCAGCTCTATATGTGCATAGCAGCTTGTCTGTGGATGTACTGGCCGTAGCTAATCTAGGTATTAATCTGCATCAGCAGCAGTGTATCAGCGCTACAGTATTCTGCATGACTGAAATCTGTATAGCCAAAATTTGTTGTGCACCACAACACAAAGAAGGCTGCTGTAGTTATACCAAGTAAAATAAAAACTAAATATTCAATATCAATATATAGAGTTAATCACTAAATAATAGGAACTTTAAAAATGGTCAAGGAACCTCCTCTGAACCACCTGGGAGGGAATGACAATAATGCTGAAATAACGGAGTCAGTCACTATATTTTTCCCCCAGTGAATAACATTTTATGGTGATATATTATCTTTACATGTTTACACAATGATATTTTGCATTTTATCTTATCCTAATACAATGCGAACATTAACATTCCACATTAAGATTCACTAATCTTATAAAACAAAGTAGCCAGCCAATCTCTTTCAGCTTTTGTCTTACCTGAGGTCAGAAGTCACTGCTCCATCACTGAAATTAATATCTCGAGGTAAGGATGCGTCACTCTTCATAGACACACAGCTGGCTTCTGGAGATGCTGGCATGCTTCTCTGCTCAATCTCCTCATTCAGACTCATTTTAGATTCAGTGCACCCTTCCAGACACGGTGCTGTTCTTCTATAGATATAGACACCTATTAGTACTGAAAAGATATATACTGTACTCAGGGCAGCATCACGAAAACAACTTTATACATGAAGACTACAAATGTATTTTACATGAAAGGTAAAACTCACTCTCATCACCTAGAATAAAATTAGGTATTTACAGTGGCAGTATATTAAATGAAAGATCACTGTAGAAATGTACAGACAATTACACCTATTTCACTTTCTATATATATATATATATATATATAAATAAATAATGGATACAGCGGTTTTCAGATTTGAATCATCAAAAAAGAAAAAAAGAAATTGGAACTGAATGTATATGAAACAATAGTTCTTCTGTGCGGGATTGCCATGTCAAAATCATTTGATAGGAACGGCTGCAGTTTTCTATAGTTCAGCACCCTGATGTTCATTAGGCAATTCTGTACATTTAGGCTAAATAACAGCATAAAAGTGGAAAAACCAAATATAGCAACAATCCAGCTACTTTACCACTTTGTACCAGAGAGATATTTAATGTTTATAATTATTTCCACATCATTAAAAACATATACCGATGCAACATTGCACTTACTGTATGTGGCCTCGCCCCTGCTGTCAAGTCCATAGGCCAATAATAGTTCCACAAGTCCTTAACATTATCAAAAATAACACTGAACTTTGAATTCAGCCTTACTGAAGCAGTGAAATCTATAGTTATTGTCACAAAACTCACAGACTCTATGAAACATCCAAGTGCAGCATTTAATAAAGTAATCCACAGTCGTAATCCACATGAAACAAAAGAGCAAAAAGCATCACACAAGAAGAAAACAGACAGCGTTGTATTTCTATTACCCTGTGCTGAAATAAAGACTTTCCTCTATTGTCAGTAGCCTACAGACTGATTGAGAAATTAGCAGTGCCATATTGCAAAATGTGGGCTATTCAAGGGCCAAATATCGCTTTATAATATAAAATCGTAACATACTGTGTACGTTTATATATATATATATTTTCGCGTTCACAACATAATTTAGGATTCAATTCAATTCAAGACTTTTCACAAATCAAAAATTAAAAAAAAATCTAAAACATTCAAAAATAAATAAATTAAAAAATATATATATTTGTAGTTATGTAGTTTATAGAGCTTTACAGAAAATTAAAGTTTCTACATTATATATAGTAATAGCAAACTTGAAACTCTAAGGTAAGGAGAGACTTATATATATAACTTGGTGTGTGAGAAATATTATTTGTTGTGCTCTCCTGTAGGTTGCTAAATCTGACACAGACATACTGAGCAGTTATTATAAAAAACCCCAATCCCAGCGTAGAGGGGTTCAGTGAATGTGGTGTTGAGTGTGTGTAAGTGTGTGAGAGTGTGTGTGTCAGAGACCCTGTAGAAGGACAGAGAGCCGGCCGACACGTCCAGATACACTCCTACTCTGTTCGATTGTGGTAAAGGTACAGGAATATCAGTGCTGATTTTATCATACCAGACAGTGTATCTGCCCTTAATGCAGCTCAAACTCCAGGACTTATCATTGAGTCCATAATCACAGTCATCACTTCTTCCTTTCCTGCTGATTCCTCTGTATGTCACTGCTATGTCAACCCAGCCGCTCCATTCAGCCTCCCAGTAACAGCGTCCAGTCAGACTCTCTCCACACAGAACCTGCTCATAGTGCTCAAATCTCTCTGCATGACCAGGATACGGCTGATGCTCTTCCACAAGCGTCGCCTTCCTGCTGTCCTCAGACAGGATGAGTTTAGTGTTTGCAGTGTTTGCATCCAGTGTGAGATCACAGGCATCTGAACACAAGAAGAGAGATTAGAACTGTATCATGGACAGTTTTTAAGCGATGCTGTATAAATATGAGTGTTGTGTGAAGACCTACATTTTTGCAGTCCTGGTCTGATCCTGAAACGTTCTCCATGATTCAAACTAGACAAACATATACACACACCAGACATTTAAAAACTGTCAGAGAAACAGAGCCTCACTAACATTAACTCAAAATCACTGGCAATCACGTTTCAAATTGATCTAATGTCTTATTTATCAATATCTACAACATCTAACCTCTTAATACTGTAGCTACAAAAGTTTTTTTTATTATTAAAGTTCAGGATGAAAGTCCAGCAGAAGTCTGTGAAGACTGTACTGATGATCTCGGATCAAGTTCAGCTCTCGAAATGGAAGCACAAACATGAAATCTACATCCTGATGGGCTTTTCCCTCGGCCCAGTCCAGAATGAACTTCTGCACAGAGACGGTTTTTCCGATTCCAGCGATGCCTTTAGTAAGAACAGTCTTGATCTGCTCTTTCTCCTCAGATCCTGCTTCAGCTGAGGCTTTAAAGATGTCATTGCAGTAGATTGGAGTGTCTTGTGAGTGTTGTGTTCTGGCTGTTTTCTCCATCTGTAAAACCTCATGTTCTTCATTCACTCCTTCTCTCTCTCCCTCTATGATGTAGAGCTGTGTGTAGATGCTGTTCAGGAGGCTTTCATTCTCTTGGAGTTTGGTTCCCTCAAATAATTTCTCAAACCTCTCTTTCATGCTGGTTTTGTGTTGGTCTTTGACTCTCTGTAGTTCATCATCTACTGGTTTCTGCAGGTCTCCAGTTTTATTTAGCAGGACTGTTTGTGTGATGTGGGTCTCATAAAAGTCTCTCTCCACTCTTTATAGAAATTAACAAACAGACAATGAAAACACCACGAACAAAAATGTTTAAATTAGTGCTGTCAATTGATTAAAATTTTCTAATTATTTGCACTTTTTTTCAGAAATTAATTGCGATTAATCCCACCTAACATTAAAGTTTTTAATTATACTTTTATATAGCAATAATTTCACATTCAGTTTTCAAATTAATGTAGAAACAACATGAAGACAGCATATTTTTAATATGTGTTTAATGGCATCTTTTTTTATGACTGAAGGCGAGTATCACTGATACCAATACTACTGATGTCTCTATGACATCGTTTTCCTCTAATATTTAACTATTGACTAGCCATTCAACATTACAGTATAATTGAGAGCTATCAATTATAACATTTACTAGACTTCAAACTTCTAATTTAAGTGAACTTTAAACAATCTTCACATGTACAGAAATTGAATAAAGTTATCAAACACTAAAATCTAAATTAAATATACTGCAAATCCTTAAAACTACAAAAGTTATTGGTTTCTTCTTTTTCCTTTTGCTCTTTTTGATTAACAGACATCACAGCAGCTGGGTTATTGTTTTTTTTTTTATGTCTGCTATTACTTTAAGAGCTGCCTCTGCTGAACATGAACAGATTTGACAAGGATCTTATTTTCTCAGAACTCTTTATCCTTTCTGACCCACTTCAGGTCTTAAAGTCTCTACTAATAAGCTGACGAGTTGAATCGGGTGTGTTAGATGAGGGAGTCAGTGCTGCTCCAGGACAGTTTGGAAAACCACTGCATTTTAGAGACATGTTCTTTAATGTGACTCATATGTAACAAACACTTACTGTAAATGCATGCACAGTTTTAAGACAGATTTAATTGCCTTTTTGGTAACTTCATGACTGAACTGAGAGACATAACTATGACAATGCAGATACTCTCGTAGATTCTTTTGCATTTTAATATGAAATTATATAGGCTACTGCGCACGCTGCCGTATTTGTGTGTGGAAAAAGAAGAGCACACGCTACAAACACAGTATAACAGCTGACGGGACAGGGAAATTAGTTTTTACTGACACATGGCCTGACAACATCTCATCTGACCACAGTTCACTGATGTTCTACTGCAACACGTTCTCACTCCCAACTCGTCACATATTGATGCTTGGTAAGGACCCCTTGGCGCCGCTTTTTTACGCTCAAGGTACCCCTTTAGCGTAATTTTTCAATACACAGGGATATCCTTTTAGCGTCAATTTTCGACGTGCAGGGTCCTCCGTTGTTTTCAGTTGTTTGTCTTAATTTAATGGTTTGCATGCATTTGTAAAAAAATATAAATTATTTTATATAAATGTATACTTTCATTGGAGCACCTAACCCCACCCCTACCCTAAACTTACCCACTTCTGAACAATATAAAACACGAAGCAGGCAAATAAAAGTACAGACACAGGTATTTATTGCAAAAACCTACTATAAAAATCAGTATAAAAGCATTACAAACAAGTCGTGTAGCATTCCAAGTCTTCTGAAGCCATACCATATCTTTATGCGAAGAAAAGGGTAAAAAAATAAGGTTTTAATCACTGAAAATGATCCCGCTCCGTTAACACGCTCACATCTCATTCAAAAAGATACACCAATAGCATGACACAATTGGTCACGAGACACACAAGAGCCAATAGCATTTCACAACCAAGGCTGACGTAAGGCTTCTTTTGGCAGCATTTTTTGAATTTGCGCACAGACTGCAGCACACAGGATGAGTTTTACGGCGGACAGAGACGGCGGATCTCATGGCTATTCCTCTCACAAATCAATCACTTTGCCTCAGAAGACTTGGAATATTTATATTTTTTGAATAAATTGTGACTGTAGCTGTATCTGCCTGTTATATCTTGTGTTTTATTGACAAATGATAGGGTTAGGGGCAGGGGTTGGGTTACGTGCTCATAAATGTGTAAATAGTGTAATGCTCAGGTGCATCTCAAAAAATTCGAATATCGTAAAAAAAGTTTTGTTTTTTTTGGTAACTTATTTCAAAAAGTGAAACTTTCATATATTCTAGATTTATTACATGTAAAGTAAAACATTTCAAAAGTTTTTTTTGTTTTAATTTCGATGATTAGAGCTTACAGCTCATGAAAGTCAAAAATCCAGTATCTCAAAATATTAGAATATTTACTAAGATCAATCAAAAAAGGGATTTGCAAAACAGAAAAGTTCAAGTTCTTTAAAGTATGTTCATTTATGCACTCAATACTT